TGGGTTCAGTCCCCATGTTTGTTTATTTGCGCAAGGAAAAATAAGGTTTTGTCGTCTTGATTTCTTTAATGTAAAGCTGTTGTACTGTATATGTTATTTGTAGTTACTGCAGTGATATCCAGTGTTGAGATAGTTTTGTGTACAGTGTCCTCCAAAGAGCCTATAGTTGCATGTAGAGTTCATTGATAAAGGTTTTAAGAGCTCATAGACTATAGCAAGCCCCGTTAAATGAATAAATGTAAAGGCAATAGCAGACTATTTCTTTTGTGTGTTTGGTTTTTGAGACAGGGTCTTACTATAGAGTCCAGGATGGTGTTGAATTTGAGATCCTCCTGCTTCTGACTTGGCCTCCCTAGTGCTGGGATTAAAAGCATGCACCAACAAACTGACACAATGTACTTCTCTCCTTCCCTCCTTCCCTCCTCTCCTTCCCTGTTTTAAACTATGGACCTGCCCTAAGCTATATCTATATCCTCATCTCGTGTTTTTTTTTTTCGCCAATCCCATTTTTAAGACACAGTCTCACTTAGTTGCCCAGGCTGGGCTTCAATTTGTGACCTTCCTGCCTTAGTGTCCTAGCTTGCTGGGATTATAGGCATAAGTCACCATGCTTGGCTGGGAATTTCTTATAGGGACAAAAGTTGGTAAGAATAGACACAGATTTGTGTACACAAAACACAGAGAACTGAGCTAGCACAATTCTCTCGCAGAGTCTTCAACCAACTTCTAAGTGTTAAGATCTTATACAACCATGGTACAGTTACCAAAAATAAAAAATTGACTTTGGACCTTTTGGTGTCACTTGCCTTTAACCCCAGCCCTCAGGAGGCTGAGGCTAGGTCAGAGATACAGGTAATCCTGGGCACAGACTCCATGGAGAAGGCTTTAAAAAGCACAGATTGCTCAGCGTAGTGATATTTGAGCTCCAGAATTTCTGACCAGACTGAGCAACGTAACAAAACACTGTCTCACTATATTTCCTTTAAAAAAAGAACTTGATACTGGTACAATATTGTAAACAGGCTTTATTCCATCTTCCCCAACTTTCCCACGTTTAATACTTTTCTATTCCAGGATCCAATGCAGGATACCACGTTACATTTAATTGTCATGTCTCTATTCTACTTTGAAACCTAAGGAGAGATTTCATGACCTTGATATATTTGAAGGGTACTGTTTTGCCCTATATAGTGACTGCTTTTTCCTTAGTATAGTCTGTTGGTTTGAAGTCTCTAAAGCCAACTCTTATTCAAGAAGAGAAGAATTGGCTGGGCATGGCAGTACAGACCTATAATCCCAATACTTGGGAGGCTGAGGCAGGAAAGTCATCCCAAGTTTAAGGCCAGCCTGGACTGCATAGCAAGACCCTGTCTCAAACAAACAAACAAAAAAAGAATTAAGCTATATTTCGTAGAAGAAAATATATGGAAAGAATTAGATTATAGGCTGAAACCTCCATGTTATTTGTTGAAAACATAATAAATGCTTTTTTGTGTGTGTCATAGTGGGGATTGAACTCAGGGCCTTTGCGCATCACTTTCCCCCTGCCTGTTTTTTGAGACCAGGTCTCACTGTATAATTCAAGCTGGTCATAAACTCATTGTGCAGACCAGGCCGGAGTTGAACTCATTCTGATCCTCAGACTCCCAAAGTTGGGATTAGAGGCATGTACCACCAAACCTGACTTTTTTTATTTATTTTGAGATCCCAAGCTGAGCTGGAACTTGGTCCTCCTGCCTCTGCCTCCTCATGTGCTCACATTATAGGTGTGAGCCACCTTGCCTAGCTTTGTGGTGTTTTAATAATTTTCTCTCTCTCATTCCTGGTATATTTATTAATAAGCGCTATGCAAGACCGAGCCCTTTTTCCTTTAACTATGATCCAGTCAAGGATTCTACATAGTGTTTGTCAGTACAAATTTTAGGTATCTTACTCAAGAATATCTTACTTATTTTTGTTTTTAATTAGGACAGTGGTATTATTTGAGGGTTAGTTTTGTTCTATTTGCTTTTACTCTTGTGCTTGGGGATTAAACCCATGTTAAGTATGTTGAACTTCACCCTAGGCCCAGGATTCAATTAATTTAATTTATTTATGTGTGTGTTTGTTTCTGCAGCACTGAGGATTGAACCCAAGGCCTTTGCACTCATGTACATCCCAACTCATTTTTGTTTTTTATTTTGAGGCTGGACTGGAACTTGTAATCCTCCTGCCTCTGCCTCCCAGAGTGCTGGGTTTACATGCATGTGCCACCACATCTCACTCAGGACAATTTCTTGAAATGATCAAAGTGTCTTACAAAAGTCCACATCTGGATTTCTGTAATTGTTTTTGTATGCCTAATATCCTATAAACTTAAATCTAATTTTAAGCTTGATTAAATTTAGGTTAGACTTTTTATGTGAATACTTTATTGGTAAAACTGTAATTAGTATTCTATAATTTCTCATTTCCCATCTGTAAAGTAATTTAAAATTTGATTGCTTCGTAGTAATAATAACAGCTACCACTCTCATTTTGAAGGTGGGATTTTCCCTTTGCAATGAGTTAAATGTGTGATAATTTTAATACCCTGCGCCGGAGATTTAGCTCAGTGGTGCAGTGCTTGCCTGGCAGGATTGAGGTCCTGAGTTCGATTCCTGGTACCCTCTCCTCAAAAAAAATTTTAATACCCTGTCAATAGACATTTCTGCACCAACTTTTAACGTAAGTCAACCCACTAGGGCTTATATATTGTTCCTACTGTCCTTGTATATTTATTAGCTAACACTCTTCTGTGAAGGAGAGCTTTTTCTCGTTAACAGAGGCCGTTAGATCGCACTGTTAGGGAGTTCCCACTAGAAAGGCAAGATACATACTTCATTTTTAACCTTTACTGGTTTTCAGATGACCTTAATGTAATAGTAAACTCCAATGCTGACAAATTGTGGTTGAGTAAATGTTCCTGTTGCTTTCTCTGAAGTACAGTACCATTATTCTCTCTGATCTTTAAATATTATTTATTAGCACACCTGTAATCCCAGCACTGAGGAGGCTGAGGCAGGAGGATCGTTGTGAGTTCAAGACCAGCCTGGGCTACAAAGGGAGCTCAAGGCCAGCCTGAACTGCATGGTGAGACTCTGTCTCAAAAAGACAAAAATAAATAAATAAATAAATATTGTTTATTGTTTCTTAAGATTCAACACTTCTCCCTTTACCAACTAACCTACTACAGTGGCTTTATAGTAAGCATCTGATACGTGTTTGTTGAACAGTAGAAAGAAGAAATTGAATCTATACTTTGTGAACATATACAGATGTTTATTTTTCTGGGGAGAGAGTTTATACCATTCATCAAGTTCTGTGAAGGTTACCTGACAGAACAATGAGACACTAGTTATTGGGAGACTACGCTGTGATTTCAGAAGTGATAATTTTCTTAACTTTGTAACATGCCTAGAGGTTGTCATTTGAAAGTCCTGTTTTAAAGATTATAAGCCCTTCAAATAAAGTTCATCTCAATCACGTTGACTTGTAATGCACTATTTATATTAATTTAGTTACTCAGCAACTCAGATTATCTGGCATCTTTGTACTGTATCCTCTTTCACTCTGGGTGAAGTAAAAGATTTCTCTCTCTTTGGATTTTTTTTGCACCAGGAATCGAAATCAGGACCTCATGCTTACCAGGCAGGTGCTGTGCCACTGAGCTAAATCCCCAGCAAGATATCCCATCTTCTGTGAGCATCTGCCACACCTGAGAAGCAATTTGCTCATGATTTTTTGTTTTGTTTTGTTTTTTTGAGACAAGGTCTTGCTATGCAGTTCAGGCTGCCCTTGAGCTCACTTTGTAGCCCAGGCCGGCCTTGAATTCACAAGGATCCTCCTGCCTCATCCTCCTGAGTGCTGGGATTACAGGCATGCACCCCCACACCTGGCTTCTTGTGATTTTTTTTTTTTTAAGTTTGTCCATTGGGTTCCCCTTCAGTTCCTCAAGCTGAAGTCTCTTCCCTATTTTCTCTCCATACCCTGCCTGATAAATCTGCCTGTGTCTCACACACACACAAAAATTCGTTCATTGCATTACCGAAGTCTGCATAAATCGGACAGTGTTATGAAATCATATCAGATGAATTGAAATTAGAAAGTTGATGTTCTCGCTGGGGATTTAGCTCAGCGGCACAGTGCCTGCCCAGCAAGTGCAAGGTCGCTAGTTTGATTCCTGGTACTAGGGAAAAAAAAAAATTAAAGTTCTCAGTAATAATACAGAAATGGAAATAATTATAGTGCTTTGCAAGATTGAGTATATAAAATATTCTAAAGAATAATGATTCATTTATAGCTGGGTGTGGTGGTGCATGCTTGTAATCCCAGCACTTAAGAGGCAGAAGCAGGAGGATCACCCAAGTTTGAGGCCAGCCTGAGCTACATAGTGAGATGCTGTCTCAAAAAACGGAAAGGAAAAAAAAAAAAATTCACTTTTAGGTGGGTTTGTTGTTTTTTGTTTGTTTTTTTTGGTACTGGGAATCAAACTCAGAACCTTGTAGTTGCTAGGCAGGTACTTGTGCCACTGAGCTATATCTCCAGCCCCTCATTTGAATTTTAAAATTGTGTCTTCAGGCTGGTGATACAGCTCAGTGGCACAAGCACCTGCCTGGCAAGCGCAAGTTCATGAGTTCAATTCCTGGTTCAAAAAATAAAATAAAATAAAATTGTGTCTTCCTAAGGTAAGTCTAGATATGTAAACAGGCAGTAGGTGTAGTTTTAAAAATCTTGACTAAAATACACAAGCATATACTTGTACATTAGCTTTTCCTCTATTAGCAGTGTCTAATATGTTTGCAAATAATATGTTTTATATCTATTTGAAAGATTTTAAAGTGTTGACAAACTTTTATAAATGCTGTAGTTTTAAGGAAAAGATTCATGCTCCCAGAATTTATTTACCAGTAAGCACCTTTAAAACCAGTAATAAAAAGCAGCAAATCTGAATTAGTAAACTGCTTTTCTTTCTATTTCAGATATGTCGGTAACCTTTCCAGAGATGTGACAGAAGCACTAATTCTCCAGCTCTTTAGTCAGATTGGACCATGTAAAAACTGCAAAATGATTATGGATGTAAGGGTATTTTACTTAGTTAACTTTCTTTTTAGATATATTAGAGCCATTCATTCTAGGATTTCTTAGTTTATATCTAAATTTGTCAGAATTTTAGTGAATTTAATGAGTTTTTTGTCAACTAAATTTAATTTTTTTAGCTAAAGAGACTAGAAGCAGTCATTTTTATAGCAGATGCAATTGAGGTATCAGAATTACTTATCTTGTGTACAGCTGATTAAAAATCTGTTACAACAATTATATTGGGAAATGGGTATAAATACACATTTTATGCAGTGAAAATGTTTTTAACTGTATTTTTGAGGGTCATGAATTAAGTTTTTCTTGCTTAGACAGTTTCTATCCATCAGACCTTAATGTATAAGAAATACGTTAAATTTATAATTGTGTGTGTAGATAGTTTTTTTATTTTATTTACTTATTTATTTTTTTGGAAAGAAGTCCTTTTATGCTGTGGTCTTTCCTTCTTATAAAGCTTCTGAAGCCAGTTGTGGTAGTGCACACCTGTAACCCAGCACTCTGGAGGCTGAGGCAGGAGGATTGTTGCGAGTTCGAGGCCAGCCTGGGCTACAGAGTGAGCTCAAGGCCAGCCTGAACTGCATAGGGAGACCCTGTGTCAAAAAGACCAAAAAAAAAAAAAACAACTTCTGGTGTTTCTAGCTAGGCATAGTGGCCACCTGCCTGTTATCCCAGCACTTGGAAAGCTGACATAGGAGGGTCACAAGTTTGAGTCCCACTTGGGTGGCTTAATGACAACTTGTCCCAAAATAAAAAGGGTTAGTAGTGTAGCTCAGTGTGAATGCCCTGGCTTCAGTCCCCAATACAACCAAAAAGGAAAAAGAAAAAAACAAGAAAAATTATTTTCTTTCTGGTTTTCTTTTCTCCAGAAAAATTCCAATTTAACTTTTTTAAGTTAGTGTTTTAAAAAATAATTGTTTAAGCCAGTTGTGGTGGCATATGTCTGTAATCACAGCACTCAGGAGGCTGAGGCAGGAGGATCATTGCGAGTTCGAGACCAGCCTGGGCTACAAAGTGAGCTCAAGGCCAACCTGAACTGCATAGCGAGACCCTGTATAGAAAAGACAAAAAAAAAAAATTTAGTCAAGCATGCTGGTGCACACCTTTAGTATTCCAATTATATGGGAGTTGGAGGCAGGATAGTGAGATCAAGTCCAGATGGCAATTAAGTGAGACCCTATACTACCAAAAATAATAATAATAATTAGCCAAGTTATCTTAGATGTGAAATATTGTCAAGCCTATCTTGTCTTGCTGCATAGTCATCTAATTATGTAGATGGGATCAACAGCTGCTTTTGTGTTTACCTTCTATCATGTTTAATATTGCTGTGTTTTTGGATAAAAGAGAGGGCTGGGGTTACAGCTCAGTGGCACAGCACCTGCCTGGCAAGAGCGAGGTCCTGAGTTCAATTCCTGGTGCCAAAAAAAAAGAGCAGAGCTGGATAAAAGAGAAAAGATCTCTGTGAGACCAGCCAGACACAGTGGCACATGCCTGTAATCCCAATACTCAAGGAGGTTGAAGTAGAAGGATTGGAAATAGCAATCCAGTTTGGGTAACTTAGTGACTTAGCAAGACTCTGTCTCAAAATAAAGATAGGGCTGGGCGTGATGGTGCACTCGTGTAATCCCAGCACTTGGGAGGCTGAGGCAGGAGGATCCTTGCAAGTTTGAAACCAGCCTGGGCTACAAAGTGAGCTCAAGCCCATCCTGAACTGCAGAGCGAGACCCTGTCTCAAAAAAAAAAAGATAGGATTACAGACTGGTGCATGCCCATAATCACAGTTTTTGGGAAGCTGGGGGAGGAGGAATGCCCAGAGTTCAAGTTCAGCCTAGGCTAATCAAGAGTTTGAGGCCAACCTGAACTATATATAGCAAGACCGTTTCAAAAAAAAAAACCACAAAAACTGGGGATGTAGCTCAGTGTTCATTCCCCAGGGACCCCCCCAACTCCCCCCTGACTTTTCAAAAAAGGGGAGGTCTCTGAAAGCATAAGAAAACTCAGGGGGAAAACATTTGGGAAAGTAGGGAAGTTAAAACCAGTCTTCCTTGATCTAGGTCTTGCCCATCAGTGACACTCGCACTCCTTGCTATTGCCAGTCGCTTTAGTGCACTGTCATGAATGCTCAGTAGCAGCCTTGTAACGAAAATGTTCGTGGACAAGGAAGTACAGCAGAGCAGGCATGTAGGCCTCACTGGTCTGTCCGAGTGTAAATCTCCGTTAGTGTTTGTGCTGCTGTTCTCCCTCTCTAGCTGTATATTTGCCTGGGTAAAATCATGATACTCCTGAATAGAAAAGCTGATAATATGTGTGTATTGTTAGTTTCTTTTTACTTCAAAAGTTAGCTTTTCTGGATGTGAAATATTGTCAAGCCTATCTTGTCTTGCCGCATAGTCATGTAATTGTATAGATGGGATCAACAGCTGTTTTTGTTTATTTATTTATTTATTTATTTATTGTCTTTTTGAGACAGGGTCTCGCTGTGCAGTTCAGGCTGACCTTGAGCTCACTTTGTAGCCCAGGCTGGTCTCGAACTTGCAACGATCCTCCTGCCTCAGCCTCCCGAGTGCTGGGATTACAGGCGTATGCCACTGGCCATTGTTTTTAAAATTATATATTTTGACACAGGGTTTCACTAAGTCACTAAATTGCTCAGTCAGGGCTCTGTGTATAGCCCTCTTATTTCAGCCTCTCAGAGTGCCAGAATCACAGCTTTGTGGCATCATACAACTTGAATTATATCATTTTTATACTCTTTTAATTGTGTAAAACGAGGTAATATGTAATCCCAATATAAGAGTTATTTGGTATTTTGTACCGATGGATATAAAATATGGGTTTTTCTGCTTTAATTTATAATAAAACGTTGTAAAGGTTTAGGTTGGGAGAACAGCTCAGTGGTAGAAAATTTGCCTACATAAGGCCTTGGGTTTGATTTTGAGGACCCCAAGAAAAACTAACCCATCCAGGTTTTATTAACATAATCCCAACTATGAAAAGAGAAGGGGAAATTTTTTTTGGTACTGGAACTCGAACTCAGGACATTGTGCTTGCCAGGCAGGTGCTGTGCCACTGAGCTATATCACTGATGAGAAATTTTTTTTAAAAGCTTCTGATCAGATAAAAAAAAATTGTGTCAGAAAGTCCACATTGTAAACCAGGTGTGATGACACACACCTATAATTCCAGCACTGGGGAGGCTCAGATGGGCTCAAGGCCAGCCTCAACTACAAAGAAAGACCCTGTCTCTCTAAAAAAAAGAACACATTATAAAATCTTCTCTAAAGGTTTACCTGCCAGAGAACTTTAGGCTCCACAGTATTTTCAAACAGGTTGAAAAAGGTTGGCTAAAGTTTTCTGCTACTCAAGAAGTTAGAAGTAGCAAGGAGATACATGCTTTTGTAGCAATAAAAAGTAACAAGTGGGGTATAGAAAAAAATCATAAAATGTCACTGGTTGTGATGGTGCACACCTATAAGCCCAGCACTGCAGAAGCTGAGGCAGGAGGATCATGATGAGTTTAAGGCCAGTCTGAACTACATAGAGAGACCCCCATGTCTGCCTGTCTGTCTGTCTCTCTCTCTCATACGCGCACACACACACACACAACACACACCAAAAATAATAAAATGTTAAAACAAAAACTTTTTTTTGTTGTTTTGAGACAAGGCCTTAAGGCTAGGTAGCCCAGGTTGGCTTCAAGCTCACAGTGATCCTCCTGCCTCAGCCTCCCAAGTGCTGGGATTACAGGCAGGTGTCACTATCCCTGGTTTAAGCCTTCAGAACTATGTAGCTTGAAGAAATAATTATATTATGGTGGGGAGAAAATACAAATACTATATCTGTATTTGTATAAAATATAAATATTATATTTATAGCTAGATATTATTACTAAATTATAGTAGCATAGCATAACCTGTCAAAGAAGATAACTTATATTAAAAGTTTTTGATACTTTTGTGGTACTGGAGATCACACTAAACTATGTCCCTAGCCTTTTTACTTATTTTTATTTTAAATTTTAGAGCAAGTCTTAGTTGCCAAACTGGGTTTGAACTTGTGATCCTCCTGCCTCAGCCTCCCATGGGCTGGGATTACATGCATGTGCCACCATACCTGGCTGAAGAAGATAGCTTTCTATATAGTTTGCTCTTAAGTGCTTACTTGCGGGGGGGGGGGCAATAATAGGGAGTGAACCTAGGGCCTTGTGCATGGGGGGCAAGCACTACACACCTAAACTGAATCCCTTTTTTTTTTGCACTGGGAATCGAACTCATGACCTCAGGCTTGCCAGACCACCTATGCCACTGAGCTATATCCCCAGCCCGCCCCCCCTTTTTTTAATGTTTCCTTTTTTATGTAAAAGTTTGCTTGTGGTATAAATCATTCTCTGTGACCTGATAACTGAAGTATATAAAACTTGGTTTTAAAATCTCTATACATAATTTTAAGATAATCGAAGAGGGCCAGGGCTTTAGCTCAGCGGCATAAGCGCCTGTCTGGCAAGTGCAAGGTCCTGAGTTCGATTCCTGGTATCCAAAAAAGAAAAAAAAAAAAAGATAATCGAAGAATAAAGCTTAAAATTGACTTTTGTATCCCTTTTCCAACAGACAGCTGGAAATGATCCGTACTGTTTTGTGGAGTTTCATGAACATCGCCATGCAGCTGCAGCACTAGCTGCTATGAATGGGCGGAAGATAATGGGTAAGGTAAGCTGTCGTAATGAAAGGTGACTTGTCTGGAAATTTTTAAATTGTTTATGGTTTGATTCTCTTTTTAGAAGCCTTATATTGTTGGGTGTGGTGGTGCACACCTGTAATCTTCAGCCCACAGAGGATTGAGGCAGGAGGATTCCTGTGTATTAGAGGCCAGTCTAGACTACATGGCAAGACCCTATCTCCAACAAAAAGCATTATATTCACTTTATAGCAAAAGGTTGATTACGTATTCACATTTCATATTTAAAGGTAGGGTAAAGCTTTTAGAAGCAAAGAGGCCTGTGTTTATATTTGCATTCTCTCTGGTTCCTTGCACATGATCTTTTTTTTTTTTAAATTTATTGGTACATTGTAGGTATACATAAGTTCACATGATAAAAAAATATTGTTCACATAACTCAAGCTTGGATGAAACATCTAGCAACGTTGGATGTTAATGGGTAATAATAAAGGGAAAATCTTTTGGTTCCTTTGGTAAAAAAGGTTATTTGAACATAAATAGAGATGTATAAAGATGAGGATATTTCAAGCCAGGCACATTGTTCATCGGTAGAGCCCTTGCCTATTACAAGCAATGCTTTGGTTCATCCCTAGTACAGTGTCAGAGGGATTTGTGTAAATGTAGGTTCCAAAGGTAGTTAGAACTTTGACCAGAACTGGTATCCCTCTGATTGTTTAATCATAAAATAATACCTTTTCTATGTCTTCATAGATAAAAACCTTATTTTGAACTTTTATTATTACAAGGACCGGGGAGATATAGCTCAGTGACGCAGTGCCTGCCTGGCAAGCACAAGGTCCTGAGTTCAATTCCCTATACCAAAAAATAACAACAAAAAACTTTTATTGTTATGGAGTATAAATGCATAAATTTTCTTTTAGGAAGTCAAAGTGAATTGGGCAACAACCCCCAGCAGTCAAAAGAAAGATACAAGCAGTAAGTATATTTTGTACCCTTTGAACATTTGTGTTTATTATACCCTGTAGTTTTATTGTAAAGCATATAAACATCATACATGTTTGCAGTAATATTTTGATCGTTATCCTAAGATATGATTTGATGTGTTTGTGTTAATAAATTTAAGAACAAATCTAATCTTTGTCATCAGGTAGTACCGTTGTCAGCACACAGCGTTCACAAGGTAATTGTATCTTCTTAAACATAAAATGAAATCTCTTGCAAAGGCTATTCACTAACCACCTGAAGTTTTTTTGTTTGATATTGGGGGGAGGTGGGAGGGAGGAGATAATATTTCTATTTGTCTCTTTGGCAGTATTTTCCCCCTATTTCCTGTTGTTCATGAAATGTGGCTTGTCCACTACTGTAGTGCTAGTTAGTACCCCTTGGTGTAGCAGCTGATTTCCTAGAAATACTTTCACCAGCGAAAGGGCAAGATACTCTGCTTCCTTGAGGTCACCAGATCTTCCAAGTGCTCAAGTTGCTCCTAAAACTGTTCCCCAAAGAGTAGCCCAGTATGTTGCTGAAGGCCTGCCAAATAGGGGTAACCTTTCTTTCCAAATATACTTTGTCAAGATTGATATATATATAGATACATATATATCTATATATATATTCCTTTAAAAATGTTTGTCCAACATTTTGCATTTTTAAGTGTTTCTTTTTTGAGTGTTGTCTTTAAAAAAAAGTCACATATGGGGTGATTATTTCTTTCCAGTGCTTTTTAATGGTTCTGATGTGAAGTGAAGGGATTACTGTTGTTCATTCTGTTGCCTTCAGTCTTAGTTCACTTGCACATGGATTCACATAAACTGAATGGTGTAATGTCTGGGCAACCAAAACTGTTGGCTTTTGAGAAAACTGTCAAAATACTTTAACATCAAACTGTTGCAATGCAAGGTATTTCTTTGATTGTTCTTCACAAAATATGGTTAAACCAAGTAGATCATGTAGCTAGCTTCAGTAAATTGTCTTAACTGAGGCAAATCTAGTCTACAGAACTCACAGTACCACTATTTCATTTTAATTTGTAAAGCCTTAATATAGTGGTAAAATGAATAAAAGTAAATAATTACTATTAGATCGGTAACTCTTTAATTTTTTTGCAGAACTGAAATTTGTTATATATTAGTTTATTCTCTTAGACTAGTATAATTGACTATAAATAGAAATGTAACTATGAGTTTTCAGTTAGCTGTATCAGTCTTTTTAGAAGAATCTTTCCTGTATTGTTACCTTGATTTATGTTTAAAATTAATAGGATTTTTATACAGATAGTATAGTGTTTTATTTATGCTTTATATTATAATCTATAAATTATTTTAAGAATACTTTATTGGATAGATTATAGTATTTTCCAAATTCTAACGTTCTATTTTTCTTTTCACTTCCCCTTTTATCCCCTTATAAGATCATTTCCATGTCTTTGTTGGTGATCTCAGTCCAGAAATTACAACTGAAGATATAAAAGCAGCTTTTGCACCATTTGGAAGAATATCGTAAGTAACAGAAGATAAATAAAATACTCATAATTAGAAACAATTTTATGTAAAGTAATTTGAAAATAGTTATGTTGTGAATTTGGGATACTCATTTTAACTCTTGAACATAGTGTATTAAAGTGTTTAGAGATCATTCAAGATGTTAATAGGAAAAGAGTATTTTACCATTAATGAATAAATCTCTAATCTTCACTTATTTTAAAATCCCTTTTCCACTAGCATTAGTTTTTAAGAGACATTTGTTACTGTACATGTTATAGTTTCTTATATAGATCATTTTGCTATCTTGATAGTAATCTTTAGTAACTTGTGCTTTGACTAAGCAATTGTTTGGGCACTTCTATGATACCATGCATTTTGTGTTAATTTAACAACAAAAAAACTTTAACAAAAAAAGCATTTGTTAAATGTTATTTCCCAGTTTTTGTCTTTTTTTAATGTTAACAAAATAGTGCCTTACAGGTTTTGTAAAGCACTATCTTGCTTGCATTTGATATTAATCACACATTTTAGGTCCTTTCTAAATATCTTTATTCAAGGTAGCATTCATCATAGAAGAACTCTAATATTTTGAAAAGCATGCCATATTAGAAAGAGAATAACTAGCTTTTTGTAATACTTTCTTAGGAGTAATTGTTGAATTTAGAAAACAATTTTTTTTTTAGGGTTTCTGGTTGTTTTTTATTGTTTTAGCTAGAAGAGTAGTAAAAAGAACGTGGTTCGGGTTGAATAGACCAACAGCAAAAACTGGGAGGTGAGGAAACTGGAAAGTAAATGCCAGTAGCAATGGTGATGAGTTTTAGGAGTTTTCACTTGAAGAGTTGTAGTTCATTGGTAAGAAGACGAAAATGCATAGTGACTAAAGAGTGGCCAGTTTTAAAGGCAGTCACAAGACTGGGGCTTATAAATGGACTCTTCTGTTAAATGATATTTGTCTTTGTGAGAACTGATTAGGAAAATAACATTTTAATTTCTTGATCTTCTTTGCTTTAGTGTTTCAGTAATGGTTAGGTTGCTTTCAGATAGGTAGACTTGAATATTTGGCTATTGAAGCATTCTATAATTCCCTGTTTACAGAACTTAGGGTGCTTTCATTTTGTTGTGCAGAATCTATGAAGTTTCATACTATCCTCAGAGTAGTCATAGGACCTTACAGGATTAAGAACTCTGTTTTAGATCTTTGCTACTACTTTCTCAGAGAACCTTTTGGAGAGAAATAAAGAGTTGAATAGATTGTAGGGCTGACATTTCCTGAAGCTTTGAAAAGAAAATATTTTTTCTAACCTTTAAAAAAGATTAGCTACTTTGTTAAGTGCTTCAGTTTTTTTATTTAGGTAGCTGTGCTTATAAAATGGGAAATCTAGTTTGGGATTACACAAATATTGTTTAGTAATTGGTGAGTTTAAATTGAATAACCAAATTGTAGCAACTTCTTTATTTTACTCATGGGTCAGTAATTTCTTTTCGTTAAATATGGTATATTGGCCGGGTATGGTGGTGCATACCTGTAATCCCAGCACTTGGGAGGCTGAGACAGGAGGAATCACCATGAGTTCAAGGCCCATGTAGTGAGTTGAAGGCCCATCCTGAACTATATAGTGAGACCTTGTCTCAGAAAACCAAAATACAGCCGGGGATGGTGGCACATGCCTGTAATCCCAGCACTCGGGAGGCTGAGACAGGAGGATCGTTGCCAGTTCGAGACCAGCCTGGGCTACAAAGTGAGCTCAAGGCCAGCCTGAACTGCATATCGAGGCCCTGTCTCAAAAAGACGAAAAAAAAACCAAAAAAACAGAATACATACATACATATATACATACATATAGTATATTGGTATCATTTTTAGTTTGGATTTTGTTATGGTCCCACAATCACTGATGGAATGGATGTATCTTTTTTTTTTTTTCTGTAAGGCTTTTCTTTAAATTTTATCATTTTTAGTTGAGGTAATGCACAATCTGAGCTTGAGGTTATGCAAGGAGTTCACTTTCCTAAATTCAAAAGAACCATTTGGCAATGAATAGCGTATTTTTCTGATTTTTATAATTGTTGTTAAAGGAAATAGATTGACAGCTATATGTTGAACAGTTCTCATTATAGTTAGTCTCTATAGAGAGACGAAAACAGTGTTTAGCGTATTAAAGATGTTACAATGAACGGTGGCCAGTTAAACTATTTAGTATAAGAAATACACTTTCCTTATTTTACACAGCTTAAACTTTTCCTGTTTCTTGAGGCTAGGGTAACATAGCAAATTTTGGGATAGACGTGTATTAGCTACCAAATTAAATGCATGTGTACCATATAGATAATTTAAGAAGTATTTTTACATATTGAGAAGTGACTTACATTAGCTTCCCCTTTTCACCAGCACCTCCTTGTCATTTTCACTGCACTTAATAAATCACCCCTAAATTAGCCTAAAATATGCTTATGTATACTTAATTAATATACAATTACATTGCATGGCTTTCTGACTTGGGTTTTTGTTATAAAAGTGCCTGTTTTGTTCATGTGTCCTGAGAGAACAAGCATTGTGACATACCTGGCTAACTTAAAAGCAGATTGCCTGTGAAGCACAGTTTGAGTCCAATTTTTTGAGGTATGGAGTTTTAGCTATCATGGCTGGGTTTTTACTCAATCTCAAATAATAGGGCTCTGGTTATTTTGCAGAGTGTCTCTGAAGAATGGACAGAATTGCCCTGGCTAACTACAAGCTACGGTTCACAGTGGATAAATGTTGGCGTGCTTTTTTACTTTTCTGATTTTTTACAATTTCGCTTTTATTATCTTGTAGTTTCCAATCAATCTTAATATGAATGCTATTATAAAATTCAGTATAAAATCTTTCTTATATAATTTAAAACTAAAGTGTGTATCTAGTATTTTTCTTCAGTGATTTAACGTTTCTGAAATATCAACTTCTCACTTTACCCTAGCCCAAAATGGGGGTGTAGATTGATTTGAGAAAATGCAATAATTTAGTTAGTTTAGGAAATATATAATTTTAAAAATTCTTTTAGTTTCCAGTTTTCTATTTTAATTTTTTAATGATTAGGTAGAGTATGGTGTCAAATAGCAAATTATAAGTTGCATGGTTAAAGAAAGCCATTCATTTACTGTGCTTGGGAAACTTTTAAGTGTTTAAGTAGTAATTCATAAGAATAGCTACTTTCACCATGCTTAATATATAAAATTAAAAGAAACATTTTGAAGTGGGAGGCAGTTTTTTTATAATATATACATATATTTAAGAATTACTGATTTGCATGTCTATAAAGCCTCATTTGCTAATACTTGATAAATTTTATAGTGAAAGGTACATTTTCATTAAAGGCTCACTTTAATGATGGTGAAACATGAAAATGAGTTGTGTGTGAAATTCTCACTTTGTATCCAGAGGACGTTTAGCAAACCTAAACTTCTGATTGTTTCTGTTTGCAGAGATGCTCGAGTGGTAAAAGACATGGCAACAGGAAAGTCTAAGGGATATGGCTTTGTCTCCTTTTTCAACAAATGGGTGAGCTCAATCAGAAGTGCATGTGCAGCGCTTTAAGAGTAAAAAATGGAAACACTCGGTTTTACTAATTTTTCTTTCATCTACTACTTATTCGTTTCACTGATAATTAGCACTCTCACTAAGAAGATACCTTCTTTCTCCTATTTATCTATTCAGCACGTACTTAGCACCTGACACATGCAAAGTATGGATAAAATGTTTCATAATATATAAACAGATGTTTAGATTATCAGCCAAAAGTTGATGTTGAAGAATCTTATTTATGGGGGCTGAACATGTTACTTAGGAGTAGAGCACAAATAGCATGTTTGAGGCCCTTGGTTCACTCAAGGAAAGAAAACCTTACTTATGAATTCAATTTATGCCGGGCATGGTGGCGTACACCTGTAATCCCCGCACTCAGGAGGCTGAGGCAGGAGGATTGTTGCAAGTTTGAGACCAGCCGAGGCTACAAAGTGAGCTCAAGGCCAGCCTGAACTGCATAGCAAGACTCTGTCTCAAAAAGACAAAAAAAAAAAAAAGAATTCAATTCATTATCTCCTTTTTTGTATCTCCATGATAATTAACAAGTAAGCAAATGCTGTCTAGCACAGTGTTATATGCCTATAATCCTAGCACATGGGAGGTGGGAAGCTAAGGCAGCATAGTTCTAGTCTGGGCTACATAATGCATTCAAGGTCAGCCTGGACTACATAGAAAAGTCTGTCTCAAAAAATTAGGAAATCCTGGTACCGGAGAAAAACCAAAAAAAAAAAAAAAATTAGGAAAGTACTGTGATGGATGAGAACTTTTTAAAAAATTATCTATTAATGTATTTGAGATATTACCGTAGTTTCCTTTGATTATTGAACACCAGCTTACATAGACTTTAAATTTCTAGATTTTGCAGAGGAAAGAAAGGATCTTGTGGTACTAGTTATGGAGAGAATTCTGTGTATGTTATTGGGTGAAGAAGAAGGGACATATATGTGTGTCGTGTTTCTAGTCATATTTTTTTTTTTTTCTGCTGGTACTAGGTATTGGATGCAGAACCTTCACACTGAATTGCATCCCATCCCACTTTTTATCTGGGATTAGAGTTTGTCACCGTGCCCGATTTTGTACCTTCTTGTTTCCATGCAGGGATAAACACTGTAACAGGGATTCCTGTTGGGAGTGAGATTTGAGAACTAGGTAGATGGAACAGTGCACTTTGTGTTGTACTTTTTAATGTTTTAGTGTTGTAAATGTATTGCCAATTTAAATAGTAAAGCGCTTTAAATTTTCTAATATCTTAACTGAATATTGTGGTACCAGAGATTGAACTCAGGACCTTGTACATGCTAGGCAAGTGTTCTACCATTGAGCTACATCCCCAGTCCAAACTGAACTATTGAAAGCAATTAAATGCATCAGGATCACATTTGCAAAAACAACAGGACTGCATGGTCGGAGAATTTATATACACAGACTTACAGCTGGGCATGGTGGAGCACACCTGTAATGCCAGCACTCAGGAGGCTGAGCCAGGAGGATCAGCATGAGTTCAAGGCCAGCTTATGCTACATAGTGGGAAACTGTCTCAAGAAAACAAACAGACAAACCAAATTTTGCAGTATACTTCAAGATTTCATCCTTGAATTTTATTGCTCACTGTTATGACTAATGGTTATCTACAGTAAATACAAAGGAACTGTACCTTCTGAGTGCCTTAGAAAGAACTTAGAACTTTTGTTGTACAAGTTTTTTCTTACGTTAGTAAATTGAATATTTTGAAAACGATATTATATCATTTCTTGGTGACTCCAGATCAAATTTGTGAACATCATTTGTTAGTATGCTGTGATATAATTGAATATGTATGTATCTCTGGGTTAAAATATCTATGTGCAGCTATACCAGTGGCCCAAAATGTCATGTTTTTTTAGTTCCTGTGTTTACCTATAGTGACCTAATGTCTGTTGATTCCTAACCATGAACTTTTACTGTCTAATTATTCACTATAAGTGCTTGCAATTATTTACCTAAAATTTAATATCCAAATCAGAAATTTGCTGTAAAAATCTATATATGGCTAACAAGTCTTGGCAAGAGCATCAAATTTACTACAATTGTAACTAAGCTGTTCTCAGAGCAATGTTACATCTTGTGCTGGGCATGATGGTGCACGTCTGTAATCCCAGCACTCTGGAGGCTGAAGAAGGATACTGTGAGTTTGAGGCTAGCCTGGGGTACATAGTGAGTTCAAGGCTGGCCTGAACTACATAGCAAGACTCTTGCACATGCACACACACAAAGATAATTAACAGTTGGGCTGTTTCCAAGTAAAGATAATTTTAAAGCGCCATTGCATTTTTGAAAAGCTGTCATACATTGTGTATTTTGTAAAGCACTTTCACTTTAACAACATATGTAAAAAGCACCAAGTTTCCTTTACTGTTAAAAGTTGTAGAACATCAAATAATAGTGGATTTTTTGTTGTTTCTAATGTGCGGAACAGGATGCCGAAAACGCCATTCAACAGATGGGTGGCCAGTGGCTTGGTGGAAGACAAATCAGAACTAACTGGGCAACCCGAAAGCCTCCAGCTCCAAAGAGTACATATGAGTGTAGGTGTATTGGAGAAGAAAAGCAAATGTGGAATTTTGGAGAAAGATACACTAGATTTTAAATGTTAGACCTGTTCCCGGAGACTTATTGCAGAAATAGATGAGAAGCAAATCAAGACTACTGTTCAAAAATGTACTTAGTTTTCATTTTTGTAACTTTAAATAATAAATTATATTATCTTTAATGTTAAGTCTCCTTTTAAATAGAGAATACTGGGTAATGATGTAGACATTCTTATCTTGGGGGATTTTTAATCCTAAACTTGAAAGTAATAAGTATTTTGTAACTATTTTGATCAAGGTAAATACTGGCATTACAGTAGTACAGTTCATGCTGTTTTTCTCCTTCTGAACATTTTCTCTAAGGAACTAAAGATATAAAACTTCTTCCTTCTCAGCAAACACTAAACAGCTATCATATGACGAGGTTGTGAGTCAGTCCAGTCCAAGCAACTGTACTGTGTACTGTGGAGGAGTTACTTCCGGGCTTACAGGTATGGGAGCTTTACTTGTGGTATATTGAAATTAATTTTTAAACCAAGAAACTCAGTATTTGTAGGATTGTAATATAATTTATTATAGTTTCTTCTGTTTTTATTTTTTTAATAGAACAGTTAATGCGTCAGACTTTTTCACCATTTGGACAAATAATGGAAATTCGAGTCTTTCCAGATAAAGGATATTCATTTGTTCGGTAGGAGTGGTTTTTTCTTTTTTCATTTTACTCTTTGTGGTACTGGGGGTTGAATTTAGGCCCTTCACAGTAAACTACATCCCAACTCTTCTTTTCTTTTTTTTTTTTTTTTGTCTTTTTGAGAAAGGGTCTCAACCAGTGCAGTTCAGGCTGGCCTTGAACTCACTTTGTAGTCCAGTCTGGCCTCAATTCGCAACAGTCCTCTGTCTCAGCCTCCCGAGTGCTGGGATTACAGGCATGCACCACTATGCCCAGCTTTCATTCATAAATATTTAAAAGAACATATAGGGCTGGGGATGTATCTCAGAGGCACAGCAGCCTGGCAAGTGCAAGGTCCTGAGTTCAAGTCCCAGTACCAAAAAAAAAAGGGAATATATACTGGTGATTCTTAATATTGTTTCTGATAGGTTCAATTCCCATGAAAGTGCAGCACATGCAATTGTTTCTGTTAATGGTACTACAATTGAAGGTCATGTTGTGAAATGCTATTGGGGCAAAGAAACTCTCGATATGATAAATCCTGTGCAACAGGTGAGCAAATCCTTTGGAAAATAATTTCTGTGCTAATCATATTTATTGTATTTATTTATTTTTAAAGTAATGTTTATTTAAAATGAAGATTATTCATAATATTTTTAAATAAGTTTCTAGCTCAATTCATATTATATAAGGGCTCTTCCTACGTGTGTTATAGTTCCAGAGTGGTGTTTCATGGATTGCAGTGGTGACATGATGAGTGTAACCATCTCATTTTCCTCATGCTTACACAGTGGATTTTAAAATCCTCCGACAAACCTAACAGGGTATTAAATCTTTTTTTAATACTTCATAGATTTATCCACATACTACGTGGAGAACTCACAGGCATGTTTGACTCAATTGAGTAAAAAAAAAAGTAATAATAAATATATTTAGAACTTGGCATTTTATTCTAGAGTTTGTGCCATTTGTTTTCCCAGGCTGCTCTAGTGGTCAGTGGAGCATAGAAGTGAGAGGAAAATGCTAACCTATATAGATTTCTTAAATTAACCAAATACAAGAATAAGTTATCTTTGTACCTTCCTAATCTGAAGGAAACAATCATGTGGATAAATGACCAAACACTTAAACATTATACTAAATTCAGTATTTATTACAGGAGCATTATCTGCTGCCTTAAAAGGATTGCCATGCAGAGTATCTTGTAGAGTTACAGCAATATAACCTCATTATCCTGTCATTTTAATTATAATGATGTCCCTAAGTTTCAGCTAACTGTTTTTGGTATATCAGGGCTGTATATGTACAACTAACTTCAAATAGAACTAAAGCATGTGTTGTAATTTTTTCTAATAGCAGAATCAAATTGGATATCCACAACCTTATGGCCAGTGGGGCCAGTGGTATGGAAATGCACAACAGATTGGCCAGTATATGCCTAATGGTTGGCAGGTACCTGCATATGGAATGTATGGCCAAGCATGGAACCAGCAGGGGTTTAAGTAAGCATATTTGATCTTTTGTTATGTTAACCTTTGGAAATACCAAAAAGAAATTTTAAGTAATCAGTAGGTAATATGACCCCCAATGTACAGTAAAATGTAACTGTAACCTATAAAGGACTTAATTTAGAATACTTTTTAACTTATAGTTTCAAATATTTCTGTTTAGAAATTTGCTTAAGAGCCAGGCATGGTGGTACACACTTGTAATCCTAGCATCTGGGAGGCTGAGGTGAGGCAGGAAGATTGCTTCGAGTTTGAGGCCAGCCTGGACTACATAGTGATACCCTATCTATATTTTTTTTTTTTTGGCCAAGAATTTTTTTGCATTAAAATATAATCAGGGTCATACAAATTTTGGTGATGTCTGGAAATAAAGAGAGTAATTTTTTGTAAGAAAGTAAGTGCTTAGCTGGGCATGGTTGCTCACGCCTATAATCCCAGCATTCAGGAGGCTGAGGCAGGAGGATCGTTGTGAGTTCCAGTCCAGCCTGGGCTACAAAGTGAGCTCAAGGCCAGCCTGAACTGCTTAGCGAGACCCTGTCTCAAAAAGACAAAGACAGAAAAAAAAGGAAAGAAAAGAAAGTAAGTGCTTAATAATTGTTAAGCCTTTCACATGGCTAATGGTTCTTTTAGCTATTCATGGATACACATACTTTCATTCAAGGGAAGAGCACTGGTTAGCACTTAATGAGCCTCACTCCATGTGGCTTCTGGCCACCAGAGCACAGACACACACACAGCTTTCTCCTGGATGTCAAGCTTCTTCATGCACCCTGAATTACACCATTTTACTTACATTTCTGAAAAACAGACTGGAAATAAAAATACTTTGCAGGTAAATAATTATTTTGTATCTGGGCGTGGTGGCACATGCCTGTAATCCCAGCCCTCGGGGGGCCGAGGCAGGAGGATTGCCATGAGTTCGAAGCCATCCCGGGCTACACAGTGAGTTCAAAGCTAGCCTGAACTATGTAGCGAGACCTTGTCTCAAAAAACAAACAAAAATCTTGTAATGGTAAAATGTGTGACTTTACATATACTAGTAATTATTAATTTCTTTGAGTAACATAAATGCTAATTTACTGTACCTAAGTGATGAAGTGCCTTTCAGGTAGTAGCTTGCCCATCATACGTCCACCCAGATGGAGATGGACAGTTTTCCTCTCTGAGAAGAGAGATGGGTTTTCCTGTATTCAGAGAAAATAAATATAATAGGTTAAGTGTATTTTCTTAGCCGTATTTCTCACAAGATTTAACTGCCCTAATTAAATGTATGGGGACACTTGTTTTCAAAAGAAACAACTTTCAAAGTACATGTCCCACTCCTTCTGTATTTGTTACTTGCTCTTGGCATTACATTGTGTTAACCAGTGGGTTTCCTTGCCCCTCTGCTTCTTCCACATTCTCTGCCAGTCAGACGCAGTCTTCTGCACCTTGGATGGGACCGAATTACGGAGTGCAGCCGCCTCAGGGCCAAAACGGCAGCATGCTGCCTACTCAGCCTGCGGGGTATCGAGTGGCAGGGTATGAAACCCAGTGAGAAGGGACTGCAGACTCTGAAGCCAGTGGCTTGAGGCTACAAGGAGTGTAGTGAAGCCGTTGTTTACTTAAAGATTTATCAAATCAGTCAGTGCAAATATCAGATACAATGTATTTATTTAAAAGATTCATTTTTTAATCATGAAATTACTTATCATCCACATTGTTTTAAAAAGAAACAAGATGCTGGATGTCTGCCAATTTTTGCCTTCATTACCTGTTTTGATAAAATTTCTCAGATCCTTGTTTCAAATACAAATGCAGGGATTGCTGCCACTTTTTTTAAAAGTAAGAGGCAGAAAATTGCACAATGTTAAACTTTTTTCCACTAAAGTAGTATGCAGTTCTAGTTTGCATTCCTGATATGATTTAAAACATGTAATATAAAGATGTAAAAAAAAAAAAAAAAAAAAAGAAGAAGAAGAAAAACCAAAACTGTGCAAAGCCTAGAAGTTCTTTGTAATCTTCAGCTTCTGCACAATTCTGTTTTAGGTTTTAAAAAATGCATTGTTTGAACAGTCCCATCTCCATAGTTATCCCTTTAGGGTTTTTAAATATAAATTATTAGTTTACATCATTTTGTATTTACATTTTTCAGAAATTTGTCTTGCCTTATTAAAGTTCTGTAAAATACACTTAAATGGAAAAAAATGATGTTCACTTAGATTGAAAACTTTTCTCAGATGGATTGATAATTGCGTTCATTTTGTGTTTTATATGAGAAGGTGCCTCAAGAATTCCTGTTGGATTTGTTTAAAAGGATTTTTATCTTCTGTGATAAACTTTGCTGTATACCAGGAACTATAAAAACACCTTGTTACTAAAGAAAATCTCTGAAATGTGATAAGTTCTTGCCATTTTACTTTCATGTGTCAATTTCTACATTTACATGTATTATTTCACTATGTAAAGTGTGTTAGCAATTTAATATTTTGCACAGTTAGCAAACTTCGTATGTCATTTCCTTCTTAAAGGCATCATGGAGGCTTGACATGAGATTTATAAGTTTTAAGTTGTTTGCATGTGAATATCAAATACACACTTTGGTAGTTTTTGAGTATAAAGTCATCTGCTCTTGTTTTTCAAGAATTTTGAGACAAAAAGTTGTATGTAAAGGAATATATTAATTTTCCATTTTCTAGTTAGATTTACTTCAGAAGAGTAAATCAAGTGAATTTTACTGTGTACAAATAAGTGGTAGCTGTGAAATTGTAGAATATCCTTGTGTTAGGCTTGGGGTTCATTGTAAACTCCAGAATTACCCTAAAGGACCAGCCAGGCAAAGCATTTTTTAAATGTTTAGAGGCCAAAAGATAAACAAAAAACCTTTAAAATCCTACCTCCTTAAAACAGCCTTCAAAGAAGAAAATCCTCAGTGCAATCATCATTTTGATTATTGTGGTACCTGTTTTCTTGGAGTTTCCAATTTGGGAGGGGGCCCTCCAACTATTAGAGGCTTACTCTTTGATGGCATTGTTCTAGCTTTGAAATTTCTAGTATATTTCGGAGTCTCTTAGAAGAGTTGTGGGAGACTTGGTTTTGTTTTGTTTTCAGTGAGGGTCAAAAACCATCTTCTTCCTTGACTTACAGAGACCAAGGGTCCCTAGAGTATGTATTTTAGTGCTTGATGGTTTTTAAGACCTTCAGAGAGCTCCCAGTGTTTTACTTAAGAACAACAACGAAGGCCTGTGAAATCTTAAGAGCTTCCTGGCCTGTATCTTCCAGGTAGGAGCAAAGGACTTTAAGCTGGTGTCTAAGCCAATACCTTTTAAACCAGAGCCCAAGAAAGACAGCTTTAAGTGTATCATTCTCTGGAGCTCAATTCTATGCAGTTGTACTGATGTTTTATTAAGTCACTGTGTATTTTTAAGTGTTAATACATTAAAAGTTGCTTTATGGAAGATGAGTAAAATTTTGGAATACGTGGAAATTCTATTTCCTTGTTAACTTCTACAAATCAGGGCATGCTACGAAGAGCAGCTTAAATGAAATACTCAAAAATAAATAACTATCAGGAAGCTATTTTTAGGTTCTTCTCACTTACGTTTCTATTTTAGGACCCTCATTTTTCTCTTAAAAAAAAGATTTACTGTATATCTTATGGACTATTGAGTGAATTGTTGGGGAAAAGTGATTTAATCTGAATAGAAGAACAGTTTTCATTTTCACTATCTCAAGTAATAACAGTTTTTATTAGCCAGTATATTTTCTTACTGTATAAATCTTAAACTGTACAGTGACTACTTTGTGAGAAGTGGTACCAGGGTTCACGATGAGAAGGTTACTACTGAGCACCTGCACATTTCAGAAGCATTGCTAACTTGGATGTAAATCTTCATGTGAAAGCGAATCATTTAAAGATTTTTCAGTCCAAAAAATGATACTGGTATTAGTATCAGATAAGGAGATTGAAGTTCTTAAAGTAATTTCATTCTTTGCAATATACATTCAGATTTTACTTTCTGGTACTGTAAAGAACCTGAAGTGATTCACTCTTAATGGGTCATTAATCCAGAATTCTTTACCCTGTTTGGATATTAAAGTTCCTTTATGTTTTCTATAACCTGTGGGATCTTCTTGCAGTGATTATTGTGTGTGAGAATTTGGTTCACATTGGTCTAGCCATATTGTTATTTATATACTTTAAATCTAGTTCTGAAGACAATAGTTTGCATTGGGTTACTGCTTAATACCACAAAAATTTGCATTTTGCACACTTAATTATGAAACTAGTCTCATTTTCCTTATTAATATCATGTTCATTGAAAATGAGATTCACATTGTAGTGTTTATTCTCCTGTTTATTCCTGTGTTTGTTCATTTTCCTTCTATATGTGCATTATAGTTCTGTTCCACTTTAAAAAGCAATTGAAAAGGGCTAGATTGCATTTATAGAGTTGTTAGATTTACTCAGTATTATAGGTGCTCCTGAGGTGCCAGTTGAGTCAAAAAACAAAATATGTTTATAGGAATTGAAAACGCAAACCTTGTGCCGGGCATGGTGGTGCACACCTTAATAGCAGCACTCGGGAGGCTGAGGCAGGAGGATCGTTGTGAGTTGGAGGCCAGCCTGGGTTACAAAGTGAGCTCAAGGCGAGCCTGAACTGCATAGCGAGACCCTGTCTCAAAAAAAAAAAAGAAAAAAAAGAAAAAGCAAACCTTGTAAATGAAGAGAATGATGATTCTGAAATCAATCACAGTGGTACCTTGGCTCACATACTTAATTCTTTCCATGATTGTTATTACAGAATTTGTTCCGTGATTCTCCTTGCACCCAGTTTGCAAGCATATGCAGTTGTTGAAAGAAGTAAGTTCCTGAACCAAGGTACCACTGTATTCCTTTGTGAAGGGCAGTATTCTTATATTCCGCATTTTCTTCCAATCCCAATCATATTTAGATTTTAAAGAACATAGCTCTAAAACTGTGAATTTTAATTTAAGAGCCTTAATTAAAATGAGTGTGTTGCCAGGTATGGTGGCACACACCTGTAATCCCAGCACTCAGGAGGCTGAGGCAGGAGGATCGTCATGAGTTCAAGGCCAGCCTGAACTACAAATCAAGACCCTGTCTCAAAAAAATAAATAATTAAATACAATGAGTATGTCTCAATTGAATAGGGGTTTTCCCCCCCTTTTTTTTGAAACTTCAACTATGGCAGGAGATTAACCAAACATGAAACCTACAAGTATGTATAGTAGAATACCTTGAGTGTCTTTCGATCATTAAAAATTTCTGCTCTACTCAGTTGTCTGCAGCACTGGCTTCAGAGATGAGATTTTTGCCAAAAGTAAGCAATATTTATGTTCTCTAAAGTTGGAGGCTGAGGTTACTCTAACAGTAATCCAACTATAAAAGGAAGGAGCAGACTTTACTAAGGCTGTCTAGAAAATAGCGTTCACTATGTAAATGGGTTTACTGGCTCCTTATACTTGTTCAGCTCTAAAATACCAACAGCAGGATGTTGGAGAACCTTTCTGTGGGAAAACTGAATGCTCCTGAGAGAGAAGATAGGCCCTTGCCCAAAAAAAAGTTGTTAGCGTCTGGCTGGCCCTGTAATGTCAGTACTTGGACAGCTGAAGTGGTAAGGCAGAGGGAGATGGCCAGGAGCTCAGGGCCAGCCTGAGCTACACATTGAGTTCAAGGACAGCCTAGACCCTGTTTTAAACAAACCGCAACTGGCCACCAATCTCCCTACCATTAAAGTGTGTCAGCAAGCTCTACCCAAGTACACAGATCTTCCAAACAGGTTTATAGTGCTTAACATTTTTTAAGAGACAACCAAATACCACCAGAAAACTGAGGAAGAATCTTTTCAGCTCTATACAAAAATCAACTCTCAAGTATCAGAACATTTCAAAGGACTGTAATAAACTCAGATAACTTCTAGAAATTACAGCAGTTACTAGTAAAATAATAAAATAGAGATAAATCAGTGAGAATATTAAAAAGTAGATGTCATAGAAGTCAAAAGTAAAAGGAAGAAGCTGGCCATGGTGGTGCACACCTGTAATCCCAGCACCTGGGAGGCTGAGGCAGGAGGATCGTTGTGAGTTCAAGACCAGCCTGAACTGCGTAGCGAGACCCTGTTTCAAAAGTACAAAAGAAGAAACGTGAAAGGGAAAATAAAGTTAGATCAATTGAGGAAGCTTAATACACAGCAAACCAGATTCTAAGAAGAAAATTTTGTGGTACTAGGGGTTGAACTCGGGGCATTCGCACTGAGCGATAATCTCCAGACCTTACGGTTTTTTATCTGGAGACAGGTCTCACTAAGATGCCAAGTTGGCTGGCCATGAACTTTTGATCCTTCTGCCTCAGGCTTCCAGAGTGCTAGAAATTTAGGTGTGCAGTAATCATGCCCAGTCAGGAGGAGAACTTGAGAAAATGGGGGTGTGGGTGGAACTTATTTAAAAATACAAGAAAATGTACCTGACAAAGTTTCAAGATCATAAAAAGGTTATTACTGACTTAGGACACCACGAAATTGTAGGACACCGAAACAGAATCTTCTAAAAGTTGCCAAGTGACAAAAAGACAGCGCTGGCTTTATATTCTCATCGGCAGTGTTGAAAACTAGGAATCTGGGGGGTGCTGCCTTCAAAGGTTTGTATGAATTATATGATCCAATTAACTCTGCTGTCACAGGAGACAACAAAATAAAGCTCTCGAATGTGCGCAAGTTCTCTAATCTTGTATCAATTTTTAGAAGTGACTGGACATGCTCATTACACCAGCAACACATCTGTAATCCCAGCCACTTGGACACAAGCAGGAGGGTTAGGAGTTTGAGGCCAACTGGGGCAATTTAGTGAGAGCCTGTCTCAAATACAAAACAAAGAACACTGTCAGCCAGGCACAGTGGCGTGCACGTGCCTGTGGTGTCAGCTACCAGCGAGGCTGGGATGGAAAGATCACATGAGCCCAGGAGTTTTAAGACCAGTCTGGGCAAAGCACTGCATCTCAAAACTGTAAGCCAGGAACAGCACAATAGAATGTCTAGAGTTAGAGTCCATACAGGAGGGGATAAAGGGAAGTCCTGGGTCAGTGTCTGTGAAACCACTTGGTATCCAGTCTAGGTAGACAGCCACAGGGCTTGCAGAGTTGGATAACAGGACACAGCACAATTGAGGTGAGAAGACTTACAACGTACATGTACTAAAACAGTGGAAACACTGAAGTCTGTTTCACTTTTTTAAAATATGAGATGAGTTCTGGTGCCGAAAGGGCCTGCCTTAGCTCACACGTAATAGAGAATTCTCATCATAATAGAAAGTTAATTTTTACTTAAAGTCTAGCGAGCATGGTGGCGCATGCCTGTAATCCCAGCGTTTGGGAGGCTGAGGCAGGAGGGTCATTGAGAGTTCAAGGCCAGCCTGAACTACATAGCGAGACCCTGACTCATCCCCTCAAAAAACAACTCAGTGTCTCAATTGTGAGAGAAGTGCATACTGGGAATACAGAGATAAAGGAGGGAGGAGGAAGGCTCTGCCTTAATTTTCTCATTTGTAAAATGGAAGTGGTAGTAGCTATTCCAGCAGAGGATTGAGATAGCACATGTAAAGCAAACTGCCTGACAGTAAACACTCAAAATGCCGCCTATACATAAATTCAGAAAGGAATTACTCAAGAGCAGTATTTATGAATTACATTATACGGGTTTCCTTTTCAGTACGTCGTTATCTTGCATTTAACGTGGCAGCGGCACGTGCCTGTAGCCCCTTCACTTGGAAAGCTGATGCAGGAAGATTGCGCTCTCAAGGCCAGCCTGGGCTGCATAGTAAAACCCTGTCAAAAAAGAAAGAAGAAAAATGTAGACAGGATTTCCATATAGCAAAAAGAAGACTTGATTCACTCTGTCTTACAATCCTTTCTGATCTGAGTTTTTATGTGAGAATTTGATAAGGAATCAAAAGATGGAAATGCAAAAATAACTAAATGGCACATAAATGTTGTATAACTGGTAAATCTTCCAGTATTAATGATGGCAGCTCAAGAAATGGACTTCGTTTTGAAAATGTCACATTTATTCCTGTACTTAGAGGGAACTGCTACCAAAAAAAGATCTTTAAAGCTGTTTTCAGTTACACTGTGTTACGACTTGTGTCTGGATGTCTCCCCCCGCGGGCCCCCCCCCCCCCGTGCCCTCCCCCCCCCCCCCCCCGGGGAGAAGAGTTGGGGCCGCCCTTCCCAGGGCCCTCTGGGACTGCTCTGTCATCTCTACACTTTTCTACATTTTCCAAGTTTACTACTGTTATGGCTTGTGTGTCGCCCCCCCCCCGTGCCCTCATGCAGTCACGGGTGGGGCTTCTTCCGAGGTGGCTGGATCTACAGTGTGTGATTTACTCCTGGTACAATGCCAGGATTAAGGGTGTGTGGTTACTAAATCAGTCCACTGATTGCTTTGGCACAGCCCTAATGCCAGTAGCCTAAATAGAATATAAAAGGGGCAGAAAGAAGCTGCTCAGGTCTCTTGGACTTGCTTACTACTTGCCATCTGCTTGCCCTGCGCTGCCATGAGCTGTTTCTCCTCTGTGGGCCCCCTATGCTATGTGCCATTCTGCCTTAGAGCCAGCCAGTTACGGACCAAAACCTCTACAAACTGAGCTAAATAAACCTTTCCCCCTTTAACTTGGACTGTCGGGTATTTTGTCTCAGCAGTGAGAGAAAAGTAAAGAAGACACATTGCAAACCTAAATTAGTACTTAGATGGGTATTTGTTTTGTTTTGTTTTTGTTTTGGCCTTTTTGGGCCAGGGTCTTGCTATGCAGTTCAGGCTGGCCTTGGACTCACTTTGTAGCCCAGGCTGGTCTTGGACTCTGAATGATCCTCCTGCCTCAGCCTCCCAAGTGCTGAGATTACAGGTGAGTGCCACCACACCCGGATCAAATGGTGGTGGTGGTGTTTTCCTTTTTGAGACAGGGTCTCGCTATGCAGTTCAGGCTGGCCTTGAGCATACTTTGTAGCTCAGGCTGGTCTCAACTCTCAACAATCCTCCTGCCTCAGCCTCCCGAGTGCTGGGATTACAGGCGTGCGCCACCACACCCGCCAAAATGGGTATTGCT